TGAAAATTTCTCATGTACCTAACTATACCCTGGCAGGCCTAAATAAACTGAGACTTTCCAGGACACCTAACAGGCAACAGACTGCAAGACTTCTGTATTTTTTTTGGAACTCATTAGAAATACTGAGATACATATACTAAAATCAAGGCATTTTAAGTAATATGAATTAAGAAATGAGAGGGCAATAAGAACAGAGATAGCTAGTTGATTTTTACGACATATGGACATTTCCTTAGTTCAGAACTGTAAACAACATATGATCTTTGTAAACAGAATTGAAATTGAAATTTCCCAAGCTATAAACCAGATAGTGCCATCATAGCTATGATTTCATGATTAAAACCTCAGAAGTGTGAACAGCTTTCCATTCTCACTACAAAGAACTGTGGGTGATTTCAAGAATCTAGGAGACTGAGACACACTACTATTTCCCTATCACAGGGATCTTCTATATGTGCCATCTTTAATTGTTCAACTTAATAAGAATAAGCCATCTGAATTCAAAGCACACATTTTGCTGTTAATATATGAAACGGTAATTTAAGTTCTATGTATAGAAGGCAGAGTCTTTTGCCTTGAGATAAGCAGTCTGCAAGAGCAATGCAAACATACACAGCAAGGATAATAAGTTGACTCTTACCTCCTGCCATACAGGTCACATATATTTAGTCTTTTCCACTCCTCACACTGTCGTAACAGTTTTTGGGAACATGTCTACACAACCCAGCCAGTATCAATACAGTGGGGCAAACTTCAAGGAAAACATGCATTAACCACATCTGTATATAACAGTTCTGTTTTTAAATTGGTTTATTCTAGTTCATATTTTATCTCATTTTAAAACTCTATAGAGCAGGAGCTGTCTTATGTTTCTGGGATGCTTAGCACAGGACACTGAACATGCGTGGGGTCTTTGGCTGCAGATGTCATACCAGTATTTATGACTGACTATTTCTGTGTGTGCCAGTGCACACTGATGAGCAAGCAAAACAGTAGAGCCTAGAACAAGATGTCTCTTCCCTTTTCAGAGAGGCAAAAGAGGGATGGAGCTCTCAGCATCAGGCTTTTTCACCAGACACTCCTTGGAGCTTTGCTGGCTCTAGTACCTTGACATCTCCTGCTTTCTCTACTTTTTAAGTGAGTAGATTGGCTGCCATTCAGAGAGACCAATTATCATTTCAAGAGCAACTTTTTGGCACCAGAACTGTTTATATGGAAAACAGATTAAACCTAAAATCCAGCTACCATTATAATTTCAAAACCCAGTAGGAGTCTAGATATGTGTTTTACTTGCTTTTTACTGCTATAATAAAAAATACAGGGTATTCAACCAGAACATCCATGTTTATTTTAACATGGATTCATCATATAAGCAACAGATTTTAAGCTAACATCAAATGTCTCGTTAAAGATACTGCATTGCTTTTAGAGCCCAGGCTCTTTTCTTTCAAGAAATATAATCAGTCCACATAAAAATAAATGCCAAGGTTTCAATTATGAATTTCTACAATATTGTTTTTTTAATACAACACTCAGTAGTGTATATTACTTTCCAGATGGAATTCTTATGCAGAAAGCTATGCCCCAGTATCATGAAAATACTAAGTGATATTTACCTAGGTGAATCATTTGTGCATAAAAATCTATCATTTTGAACATAGCTGTACAAGCACTTAAAGCATCTGTTGAGAATATACCTTGTGTAAAAGCTGTAAGTTTAGACCTTAATCCATTGCCATTGACTGTTCAGTAAGCGCGTTCTACATAGCATTGTTGAGCTTTTTACAAACAGAACAGATAGAACATGGTCAAATAATTCCTGATCTGACTGAACAGAAGAATAATCAACAGGAATGAATATACAATAAGTGCAAGGGTTGATATGCCCTTTAAAATAGGTACAAGTTACTTTAATAAGAGAGTAGTGTGCTCAGATCAACTTTTTTTTTTTTTCCCCTACCATTGCCTTAATTTTAAAGGTCCTGCCAAAACACATTTTTTAATCATCATGAAGACAGAAGCTACGATTTTCTGGTAACTAGGTAGTTACAACCATTACAACAAAGGATTTAATACATACTGGAAACTTTATTTTTACAATTCATTGGTATAGGTATTTGCTGTATAAAAGGTAAAAAAATAACCTTACAAGTAAAAATAAAGTCTACATCCGAAATTACAATTTTACTAGCAAGCATGGAAAAGAATTATTTATAAATCTCCATGTCCACAAATTTTGAACTGTTTTGATTACCACCAACCTCATTAAATAGAAGGAAACACAGGCAAATACCTACTAAGTGACTTGCCTGAAGTCATGGTGAGTCAGTGGCTGAAATGAGAACACAGTCCTGCTCTCCTGCTTTTCCACTCCCTGTGTCCTCATCACCGATTCAGCAAGAATTCAGGCTCCACGCCACAGATCTTCACTGGCTATAAGCTATAGTAACTGACAGCAGCTGAACAGTGCAAGAGAGACGGAGATCCCCACAGGTGGATAACTAAAGTTTATGAAGGGCTGTCATTTTGGTATGGTAACATTCACACTACCAAGCAGGATGCTACATACCTGATTAACAAGCTGACCAGTTAGCTCACTGAGAGTGTTACTCTCTGATCTTGTCTCAAAGAAGCCATAGTCTGGAACACTAATGCCCTCGTTCTTTCCTGTAAACTCTCAGCTTTGGCTGAACTACATATCCTGGTCCTCTCCCTCCTCTGGCAGAAAGAATAGATCATTACAATTAGAATCAGTTCAGATTCATTGTTTCTATAATATCTATGACTCTTGTATCAGAACTACAGCACTATTTGAAAAGGTATATTGATAACGAATAACTGGCAGAGATTATCCTTTCAGCTCGAATACTAAAATACTGCATTTTAAACAATTACCAATTTTTTTCTCTCTTACTCTATCACTAAGTGTTCTACAGACAACACTTTAGTTACAGCTATATTACTATCATATGGCTCTAATCAATTCACATTTATAACACAAGGATTTATTTGTAATAAACAGAAAATTTCTGAATATTTTCTAAATCAAAATTCTGGGTTACAGGAACAACCTACCTTTAATAATTCTTTGCGCATCTCTAAGTTCAGTTAAATCACATTGCAGCAAAATATTTCAAGTGTGCAAATTCTGACAGTGACTTCTGCAAGAGATTTTATTCTGAAATAAACAAAGCCATCACTTTTTGAAAAATCAATCTCAGTGGAAACCTATAGAGAAAAAACCTAACAGCTAGTTTTCAGAAGTGAGGGAAAATTAAAACTGGTAAAATTACTTGTCTCCCTTCATTCCTAAGGGAGACATTTTGTCAGCTTCCAAGGAACATGCTCTTGTTTCACTGGCTGGCTGAAGCAAGCAGTGCAGATTTCGTGGACAGAGAACTTCCTGCTGTGAGTTTTAATGTTTTGCTACAGATTCAGTGTAGCAAAGTAGGTCTAGAAACACAGCAATGTCATGTAGAAAGAAAAAACTAAATGCCAAGTTGCAGTGCGTTTTCAGGACTGAGTTCACGTTTCTACATGTAGATTCAATTTTTATATAATCAAGTCACTAAACTTGCCTGCAGTGAAACCCATTATGACTGTCTGGATTACTGCCTCCTAAATGTGATCTGCAGATTGTGGTCTGTCAGATATCAGATGATGATACATAAACAGCTGCTTAAAACCCTCTAATGCATAAACATAAGCAACCAAGGAAAGAACAACATGGAGAAAAATGAAAACAAACATTCAAAGTTAAGCTTAATTTTTATTTGGCAGTAAATAAAAATCACTGTGGCAATATTCTGCAAGATGATCACTGGAGTGTAATTTTTTGTTAGGTGGTGATTGGATTACAAGGAAAATTGACAAGTATTACTGTACGCTTTTAATATACAGACCATCCAGAGCCATAACTTTTTTACAGTTTTTGTCTGCATTGCAGGCAAGGCTGCACAGTTATAGCATCAGATCAGAGAATTCCCCGTGACATTGTATATTGATTCGGAGATGAGATTTCAGGTAAGTGTAAGGATCCATTTGCACAGATGTAACTACTAGTTTGGGATCACTGTAGCATCTGTGTTTGTTCCTTTCGCAGTATAAACCATGCTATCATCTTAAATTGGTATTTCAGAAGTTCACATGACAAGCAGAACTTCACCTTCACTAAAAGATTAAAAAATTTTGCAAGTTTGCAACAATTAAAATGTTTTTTTTTCTTCTTTCCCTCTTCCTGTTTCTCTGAGGTGCTTTTTAAACAAGTTAAAATAAATTTATGGCAAATGATCAGTATGCTGCTTCTGAGAAATATTTTCTCTGCGTATCGAAAAAACGACCAATTTTCCCTTCTGCAACACTGCAGATACCAAAAAATCTGACTAATATTCTTAGTCATATTTCATGTTATAAAGACTTTGGTATACTTCATTCCAGCCAATAAGTAATATATTAGAAAGTGAACAATATGGGAAAAGTAATGAGGATTTTGCAGTCAGTATTTTATTTTGGCACACTTTCTAAGTATTAAATAAGCTTATCTTCCTGTGCTACTACTTCATGTTTAAAGATCAAATGATATTTCTGGAAAGCAATTATGTTCCAGCTTTGATTAGTGTAGCAAATGCTAGTATGTATTTTAAAAATGCTTTGTATCAGATATTTCAAAGTATATTAAAATAATTTTTGAAATGCAAATTTCCACTACTTATTGAGGTAAATGGGAAAAAAGATTCACCAAAAATGACTGAGAGAGATCCTGGGCTAAGGAACAATCCTGAATTCCCTTATTCAGGCAAAGCATAAGCCACAAACAGGAATTTTGCCAGAAAAATGAATTCATAAAACAATTGTCATCTTTCATATTTCCTTCAAATCAGTGCTCTCACATCTCAGGGAAAAAAGGCAGCTGTGAATTAAAAAGTAGGCAAAAGAACCCTAGCGGTCTGTAACTTACAGTCCTTACTAACCTCTCCCATCCTTTAAGAGTTCCACATCTTTTTCCAGTCTAATGCCTTTTCACAAGCAAACATAACCACTGAACAACAATCACGTAGGTCCACGAGTTATATATACAATCACAGTATAGTGATATCCAAATTCAGTAAAGTCAGCATAATTTACAGTCAAACTATGCAGGAAGTGCAGAGGAAACCAATTCCCCAATCTATTATACAAAACAGTTTGCTGAAAATATGAAGAAATCTTCTCCTGAGAGAAAATCAGCACAGTAGAAAAAATAAAATGCACCTTCTTTGAATTTTATTTTGACTCGGCCTCTTCATCCACAAATTCAACTAGCGGAGCGTGTCTATTGGCCTGGGCACCTTCTTGGAAGTTAACCTTTTTTATCACTGCTGCCTTTGGAGCCCTTATGGTATGCTGCGTAGAAACAGATCAATAGTGAACCAGCAGAGTACTTTTTTTTCCTCCCCTCTCTTTCTCTTCAGCAAATGCTAATATTACTCTTTGGTGCAATGAGAAAGAACACACTTCATCACCTCCTCTGACACAGGTACATTTATTTTAAACCTTTTAAAATGTTATCCTAAACCTTTTTCACGTTTTATTTTCTCATGAATATTTATTTTGATAAGTATACTAGGGACAAAAATGCTATATAATGTTATATTTTGAAGTATGAACAGCTGAATGTTATTTTACTTCACTAATACTTTTTGTTATTATAATAAATACCAGGCAGAAATAATACAGTTTAAGTGCAAAACGTTAATCATACAGCAGATTTGTTCTCTTAAGAGGAATCTGCAGATTTACTAAAGATATTTTTGTTTGCTGGCCAGGAGGGGTCTTTATTGAACAGGTATCTGGCAAAATCCAGATGAAACACAAATACAGCTACTAGTGACAGTAAAGGAATAGCATGTTTACATACCAACCACCAAATTGGTCTACTTGCATTGTATCAGGTTAGTTTTCCATCAAAGTTTTCGTTCTTGGTAATTTTCTAAATAGGGTTAGTCTAATATCAAAGTATTTAATATCACATATTAAAACCTCACATCTAAACAAGGATTCATTTAAATAATAATTTGCTTTTTAAATTTTACATTTTATATTTCAATAACTGCAAAAAAAAAAGAGAACAACTCAGATAATGTCAGTCTGAGATATCAGCTGGAGAGGCACAAACATTTAGCATCCAATCGCAAGTAATTTTCAGTATAATTTTTTTAGTGCACAGATGACGTATTTCATGTAATTTTAGTGTAATTTACAAAAGGACATAAGGGAAAGGCAAATTTTCTCAATAATGTTAATTCTGCTACCACAAACTGAAGTTTAAAATAAACTAATAGGCAAACCAAACCAGGTCAAGCTACAAAAACTGTAATTCAAGCAATTTGAGCCATGGTCAAGCAACGTGACAAGATATAATGGCCAAAATACAAGTCCACTGAATACCATGTGGACAATTACAAAGAATCATTAGTGTGCTCTTGGTAAAACATTATGTAAATAATAATAAAAAGACTATAAACAAAAAAATCCTGGGCATATTTACAAAGTCATCATTAACTTAATTTCTACATGAAGTAACTGCGACAACACATATGCTTATATCACAGACAGCGAGCAAGAGATACACCTAGACAGTTTTCTGCTAGAAAAACGAAAGGATTATTGATTTCTTGGGAGGGGAGAGAAGGACTGACAAAGCTAACCAAATGAATGTTAAAACATCTGCAGAATAGCATGGATTATATAATCGTCATTTGTTAATAAAATAACAGCAAATATAATCCTCTAAAATCTAGTCAGACCCAACACTTGTTTTACAGCATGTAAAGTGATACTGACATCTGCAAGCTACAGTCTGCACCATACTTCAATAATGCAATCGCAAATAATTAAATTATGACCAGATTTTTATTTTCTCAGTAATTAAAACCTTTTATATGTCACTTACCTCCATTTTCATAGCTATCATAACCATCAGAGGGTCTCCAATCTGAACCTTATCCCCTGCTTTCACAAACACCTACAATTCAAGAGAAAATTGGGAAAAAATCATGCATGTCTGTAACATTAAAAATCATCAGCTAGATCTTCGCTAGCACAATCCACTGAGTGACTGTCGTTTTGCAAAACAGTCTCCTAATATCTTCATTATTGTTGAACTGGGTATCTGAGTTCTCTAGATAATACTCAAGGGGAGTCGGAGGCTATAGAAAGAGGTTCAGTAACAGCTAACAGGATGACCAGGAAGCCATTTACGTATCAAAAAAGAAACACTAGAAGAGACAATGTACATTCTACCCTTTCAGGGCTTAAGAGCTTCTGTTTTGAGAAAAACCTCTTCCTAGAACCAGTCACTGAAGTTGGTTTTAAAACAAAATCCAGAAAGATTGCAGGAGCCGCCTAGTTCTTCTGCAATAACTTTGATTTAAAGTGTTCACTCAGTATGTAAGAGGTCCACATTCAATGTACTCCACCCTATGAAAGGGTTCATGCCTTTTTATTGCTAGAGGAATCCTTTAACTACTAAACTCTCCTGGAAATCTCTTTTCTTTTGAAACTTTTCCACTGTACAGAAAAATACACAAGACTTGCTGAACTAAAGAAAAAGAAACAGACAGAAACAGAAGCAGCAAAACACACAGCTTAACAAAAAAAGGCGTTTCTGAATATTTACTTTTTTGCAAGTGCATCTAGCATCTCGTTCTTTTGGTTAGATGAAATGGATCAAGCAGCCTTTAACTTCCTTCAAAGTTCCCCTTCAGGGGACTTTGACTTAGCAAGTAATTAAGATGAAGAAAAAATTATTTAAGTAGTAGGATTAGTTAAATATTCAGATCTTCCAGAGCTCTAGAAAAAGACTAGAAGCCTGAAAAACTCTTGGGTGGCTGCTGAAAAGCCAGAGTAAAAAGGGGTTTTTCCAACTGGGAGAAGCCACACAGCACTGACATTCGCTGGCCCTAATTCTTTCCTGGCAGTACAAAAGCAAGCACCATTTCTGGATATATACTGGAGAATTCATCTCCTACCCATATTATTATAATTACCTTTTCAACTGTGCCTGTCATGGGCGCTACAGCACCGCTTTGCATTCCCACCGAACTCACTGCAGATAAGTACTTGGGTACAGGAAGGCCAATTTGAGCGCTACCTTCCTACAGAAATAAAATCAATGACATATGAGTTAATGATGTAAAGTAATACCACTAGTAGACATGCTGACATACAGGGAAAGAACAGATCCAGCTTTAGTCAAATCAGTCAACTGTTTCGGGTGGCACGCTACTGGGGCCAGGGCAGCAAAAAGACTGTGGGCATGCTTTTTGCTAATGTCTAAGTCCTTGAAAGCCACACCTGCTGCTGCTAAGGATCAGCAAGGAAGGAACTACCCCTGTGAAAAAAAGGCTCTACATGGACATTTGTACCAAACCCACACCTTCCCTATTCACGCAGCAACAGCACAGAAGGTTTTAGAAAATGATGAAAGGCTGTTTGAACAAGGGGTAGGCAGGTTGCTGCAACAAATAAGACAGACATTGGCATCTTCATTGCCAAGCATTGTCAATATGAGTGTTCCACAATTCACAATAAAATGGATTAAGTGCTAAGTTTAATGAAAAATTCTCTTTATTCAAAATCCCCTAATTCCTCTCAGACTGGCTATCCAGAGTTTTGCAAAGACTGATTCTCCCCCATATCCTACCCATACCCTAAAACTTCTGTTTCTTCTGGATCCCCCACCTCAGACTCTACTCTGATACCACACAAAAACTGAGCTTTGCCATTCCAGCATGAGTTACTTTGTCCTCATCATTGGAGTAGCGAAGTTTTCACTGCATTCTGCTGAAAGTCTTAAGGGGCTCAGAGCTAGAGGTTAATTATTGAAACCAATACATAATAATTTACTTATTTCAGTTACATTTTTATTGAGTTACTTTAAGACCCTGTAATCTTTTTAACTGCAAATAAAAAATTTACCAGCCTAATCATGCAAATTAGGGTGTCTCCTCTTGCAAATGCCATTATTCATGCAATGCAGATAATGCCATGGTAACTCATAATTACAATTTTTTTAATATTAGCTAAAGTTACCCTCCTCAGACCAATATCAATTTCTTTCTTATCATTTAATATTAAAAATGAAATACACTGAAATAAAAGTATAAGTTACAAGCACTTTCAAATAATTGTCAATTTGAAATAATTGCTACTGTTCTATGACAAACTTAGATACTTGACCATTTTAATATTTTGTGTTCCCCCCTCCCAAACTCCCAAATTTGCAACTCTGATTCACCTAACTGTATTTGATCTTTCTGAAAGCAAGTAATTTTATCACTCAGTGACCATAAGCAACTAACTTCTAATTATACCTATAAATCCAACAAGTATCAAAACATTACGGGCCAATGTAAGAACTTGAAATTATGATTCACTTTCACATTCTCTTGTAATTTATATTGTTCATTTACATGGACAAAACTCTGAAATTTTATACTTGTGGTTAATAAAGAAAGAAACTTTACCGGAAAGAAGAGATAAATGGTGTTGTCCAAAATGACCAATTTGGACTTACACACTGTTCCATTTACTGAAGACCTCAAGTAAACTGAATCACCTTCGTTGAAGATCTCTCCAGAAATCAGGAACGTTTTATCTTGAATCTAAAAGTTAAATGCTTTTATAAGGACAAGGCTTAACTCTTCATGAACAATAAACCAAAAATTAGTATTTGTAGCATACATTCATAACCTGTAATTCTTCATAGATAATTCTGGAATTACAAAAAAAAAAAACACCACACCCCACTTTTTAAATCTTATGTATCCTTTATTTTTCAGTTAACAGACTTGTCCTGGTTTCAGCTAGGATAGAATTAAATTTCTTCCTAGTGCTGTGTTTTGGATTTAGTATGAGAAGAATGTTGATAACACACTGATGTTTTTAGTTGTTGCTAAGTACCCTACTGGTCAAGGACTTTCAGCTTCCATGCTCTACCAAGTGCACAAGAGGCTGGGAGGGAGCACAGGTGGGACAGCTGGCCCATCTGGCCAAGGGGGTATTCCATACCATGTGACGTCATGCTCAGTATATGAATGGTAGGCGTGTTCCAGGAAGTAGCAATCCCTACTTGGTTATCAGTCAGCGCAGGTGGTGAGCAATTACATTGTGCATCACTCATTTTGTGTATTCTATCATTATTATTATTTCCCCTTCCTTTTCTCTTCTATTAAACTGTCTTTATCTCAACCCACGAGTTTTCTCCCCACAAGTTTTTCTCACTCTTACCTTTCCGATTCTCTCCCCATCCCACTGGGGGTGGGGGGGAGTAAGTAAGCGGCTGTGTGGTGTTTGGCTGCCTGCCAGGTTAAACCACAATAAGACTGTGTTCTGTATCCAATGCAACCAGCTCAGAAGATTAGCTAATATGCTCTCCTAGGACAATTTTTACTATAAACTATGCATTAGCACTCAGCAAAATACAAAGGTATATTATTTCCCAGGAAAAACAAAAAAATCAAAATATTCAGTTTAGTGATGCTACTAGAATCCAGTATTTTTAATTTGTCTTAGCATCTTGACTTTCTTCAAACTGAAAAATCCATACTATTCAGCTGTCATCAATGCTTTCCAAAAGACAGGTAACTTCCTCACTCTTAGAAGCTTATAATACAACAACTACAATATATTCAGTAAACCTACAAAGGAGCAGAGGACAGCAGTAATGGAGACAGCGTCAATTAGACACCAAAACTGCAAAAAAAGACCAAATGGAAAGGTTATTTATTTGTAGGTAACCCTTTCACCTACATCAACGGAAACAGCACCTCTGCCACAACTTCAGAATACAAAGATGAACATAAGTGTATTACATTTAACTGGTATTTTTAGTTTGAAGTCCAACATCACTGAGCAAAGAATCAGAGACTTGCCGGTCTTTCAGGATGCTATGAGTAGAGATAAAATTCAGTCTTCATTTACACAGTCACATACTATTTCTCCACTGAGTGAGGACCTTATAACATGCATTGAAAGGATACTGTTGATCTGATATTGAACCCTGAAAAAAAATCATTTGCTTGATCAGTATCCTGAACAGGGGTGCAAATTAGGGCAACACCCTGGGCAGCACTGTGAGTGCTTGGCAGTTCCATCGCCCAGCAACCTGCTTTAGTTGACTGGCCTCAGGACAGGTTTGGTAGCACTCCAGAGGCACTGTCTTCCTCATGATCAGCTCTCGATTCTGTTTCTCCATCCCTTATCTCCAGCTTCTCTCCATTTCCATCTCAACCCCCATTCTTCCTACTTCCCTGGGAGTCTACATTCTCCCTGGTTACACCTCCCCTCCCCAAAAGGCCCCACTCTATGTTCCTTCCAGCCTCTTTTTTTTTTTTTGCTGACATTACTTATATGAGATAAGCCTAAAGTATAAAAGCTTTCCTGCATTACATATGTAAGCAATACACTCAAAATAACCCAGGTATTACTTGAGGGATATGGGTTATCTCAATATTCGTATCAGTAGAAATAAGGGTTTGAGTTATGCAACATGTGGTTATACACATGAAAGCACAGTAATTTTCTCACTATTTTCCTAGTACGCTCATCTCTATACAGTCTAAGCAGTTCATAAACACTGACTTATTCTCATAATTCCCCTTTTCTGAGTATTGGAAACAAGAAGCTGAACTACAGAGTGACTGCATTCTCGAGCATGCAATCATTCTGGATGCCAAATTTGAGATAAAACCCATTCGACTCCAGATGATGCAAGAAGGATATTCAATACTCAGCAAAACACAACCCCCACAAGCCACACAATTAAGAGACTATCACACATGCACACACAAAAATATCTATGTTTAAAGCATCTTGAGTTGTACCCCATAGGATCTCTATAGCGTAGACAGAGAAAGAAGCCAATTCTGTGGGGCATCATTCAATTATTTAACCAGAAGATTTACTACTCTCATCATTCCTCATCTCATTTGGTAATCACTTTCCAATTTCCATCTTAAAAAAAAATGTGTTATATTATAGATAATGCTCTAGAAAGCTTTTATTTATCCCACAGGAGATCCATCTCATGCACAGAATAAAGCAGGAGTCCTGTGGAAAAAACATCTTTTTAAATGCAGATTTAAATCTAACTTCCAGTGTTTTAGAAAGACAAATTTAAGAAAGAGAAAATAAAGAGTAAGATCTTTAAATACTGGAAAAACAAATGCTTTTCTTAGCCTTTAGTAGCTCTTCCATGCCAATCCAGTATCTAGCAAAGATAATTTCAGGCCAAAATAACAGTCTACAACAACGGCTGCAAGCAAACCAAAAATAGAATCCTGTATCAGTAATTACCAAGCAACTTTAGTAACAGTTAATACCAAAAGAAATCTACACGAAACTGATTCTGCTTTTATCTAATGAAGTATCTGAAAAAATTGGGACTTGTACCTGCATGTTGTATGACCCTTCTTGATTGTAACTTACAGCTACATCCACAACTGTTCAATAAAACAAAATATGTATATGTGAGTAGATTTAATTACAGGATCCAGAGAATAAGTACATATAAACAATATTTAGTCTATCTTGATAAAAAGAGAGACCTACCAATATTAAGAACAAACATTTTCAGATTAGCTTAGTACACACTGCAGATTTCGTACTGAATTCTAGGCAATTTGTTTTTCAAAGATGAACACCTGAAGTTATGCTCTGAAATCTGTATTATCTAAATCGAAAACAGATTTTCGATGGGAAAAAGTGCTGAGCACTTTCACACCAAAGTGAAGTAAAAAAAAAGTCAATGGCACGCAGTTCTTTTAAAAATCTCAACCTTATTCATTTAAATGATGTAGTGTCATTTGAATTTGGTTTATATCTCCTCAAGATCTAACAGTGTGGATTAATCATGCAATTAATTCTGCGAATTCCCAGCTTAAATTGCATAAAACTCATACTGCTTCTATTTGCTGTTTCTTAGCCTGAATTTTCAAGCACCAGTTGAAATAACTTTATCCGTCAAGTATCTCTTCTCCCTCCACACACTTTTTTATTAACTTACTGTTTTCCCCATCCAGCAGAGACAGTTTTCTAGTATAACGTATATTTATTCTTCTACCAGTGCTGGATGCAAATGGTGAGAATTTATCTAAAACACAAAATACAGAGATATGTTACTTTCATTCTATTTTGGCAAAACACAATAGTTAGAACTTACACCATAAAATCGACGTCCTACTATTACTACCATCATACTTATATATTTACATGGCACATAAAAGATGGGGGAACCACTGTAATATATAGTGACAATCCCTCACTCAAGCTTCAACACTGAATAAACTGAGGCTGCGTAACCTACAGAAAACATGACACTAACAACAGCACTTGCTAAGAAGAAGGATATTGACTGTTCTCCATGAACACATCCTTAACAGAAGAAAACATGGGAATTCAACTGCAACATAGCAGATTCAGATTAACCTTTAGGTGAAGGTTCCAACTGTAACAGTAATCAAACATGGCAGCAAGTTGCCTGGGAAGATTGAGGGGGTTTCTATTACTTGGTGTTTTTGAGAATGGATCAGATATACAGCTATCAGATATTGCCTGATTAGTTCATCGTCTCTTGAAGCAAGGGAATAGTGTATGTGAATCTTTCCAATGCCACTCTCCCATGTTTCCAGAATAGTTAAAGTAGAGAAGGAAAGAAAATTAACGAGGTTGTTGGCAGCATATATTAGATTTATATGAAGTTTTTGTTAACAGCCATCACATGCCCCTCTGGTATAATCATTAACAGTGTCAGAATTCAAGAATGTTCAGCTCCTGGAGTCCTGTTCATTCCATTAAACCCTACAGCCTCTCCCAATCCTAGCAGAGTCAATTTTATCTCCGAAGACCTTGGGCCAACTGTAGGAATAATAGTGACAGATACTCACTGTTTATGCTTGTAAAGAACAAAGAGTACACAGTGACACTGATTATGAATCCCAAGGTCTTTCAGATAGTGCGTATCTGAAGTGCTGTGAGAAGTAGTCTGTACATTACAAACGGCTATATTCAGGTGATATATTCAATATCTGCCCCTTAACAAAAGTTATAGTGTGCTCTGTGTGTAAATATCTGACAGATGCCAGAATGCACAACCCTGAGCCGGCACAAAATAACGCAAAAAGGGAGCACACAAATTAAATAATTGCACATAAGCTCACAGCACTGTCCCATCCAGTCACAAGTAAAATAAAACAAAAGAATGATCCTTACCATCTGAATGATCTCTAAAAGCATCTGTTAGCATTTTCTCTTTCAGTATGAGTCCTAGAGCTGCCTGACACATAACTTCATATGGGGTTGCCTTTTTAGTTGGAAACAGTTCATCATGGTGTTGAGGAATGAAATTAGTGTGCACATTTCCAGCCTCAAACTGTGGGTGTCCTGACAGGCTCAGTAAGAAATCAATATTAGTGCTTAATCCTACAATCTGTAAAGAAAAAGACGCATATTGCCCAACTGAAATGAAATTATGAATGAACAAACAGCTTTCTGCTCAACTTATGCACAGATGATAGATGAATCTTTCTTCAGACAGCACCATCAAAGCACAAAGTTTATCAATAAAACGTAATTAATTCAACTGGTCTGTTTTATTACCAATGAAACCATTTCTTTTAAAAAGAAAAAAAAAAGCAAGAGTAGCTTTCTCAGAAGCACGGTTTTCAAAATGCTACCTTTGTCCACTGTGAAGTCAAAGAAAGTTTCCCAGCAATAGTAATGGGAGGTAATTTAGGAAAAAAAACCCTACTGTTTTGGAAAATCATGCTCTGAGTATTTAAAAGAGTATTCCTAATACGAAAAGCGCCTCTTATTAAAAATGAGTTATAATAGTTTCAAGATATTCCATATTTGATCTTTTAGTAGTAATAAATGGGAACAATGACTTTTATAAATTTACTAGATACTATCCGTTTCCTGTAGTGCAAAATACCTAACCAAACAACATGAAAATAGAACTAATTATTTTAGACAAAACAGTGAAACTGCTAACTATATTGTGCTGTCAACATTTATGGACAGAACTACTAAGAAAATTCTGAAAAAAACCACAGGAATTCTTTTATCTCTTTCACTTGCAGTAATCTTAATTTTTAGCTAAAACAATAGTGGGCCAAACATTTTCAGCACCTCAGTCATGTTTACATTGTTGATTTAAAAGTGTAAATTAATTCTGCACAAATAATATTCAGTCTCATCTCAAGCCTTCTGAATTCCTCTTTTGAAAATATATACAATACCTGTAGTTTTTATAGGGGGAAAAGGGACCACTTTTTAAAAAGAACTGAGAGCATTAAAAATTCTCTGTATTTCTTTACCACATGTATAGCCTAAAAATTTAATTGTTTTTATAAATTATAAATTACAAGCAAATATCGTCTGACACAAATTCCACCTACAAATTCCTTTAAGTTTGAGAAAGGTCACACTACGATTGAAAATGTTGTTGTCTAGCCTTACTCTTCTACAAAGTCCCAGCTGCAACATCCAACTGAAGATATCGCAAACTTAAGAGAAATCTATGTGCAAAACTGGACTTCACACTTATCTCTACTCACTCCACCAATGAAAACAGCTTGCAAATTAGGAAAAAATACAGACTCCGCAAACAAATAATGAATCTGAAATGGTAGTGGCAATGCAGGCTCCCTCTTAGAAACCACTTTTGGTTCACCGTAGTATTTTATCCACATTTTGTTAGCTCAAGATGTTCACAAAGTTAGCTCAAGATCTGAAATCATACTGGGTTCCATCTACTTACATTATATTGATGCAAACTGTATCGCAGCTTTCTCAGTGCTGCTTGACGATCCTCAGCCCAAACAACCAGCTTTGCAATCATTGGATCGTAATGAACAGAAACCTCATCACCTAAAATATATTAAAAAATGCTGTAACACTAAACCAAGTATTTTCTGAAAGTTAGTAATGCATGGTACTGCACACATTATGGCATAATTAATGGCCACATTTCTTTGTGTCCTTAAAGAACATTAATCTTTAATTATGTGACCTGGCATTTCAATTCCAAGGACAACTTCAGTACTGACTTTTGTAGAGGTTAACATTACTCAGATTCCGTTTTCTTCGTTGCAATGAGAATGCAGGATTGATAAATTGTGATAAGAATATAATCAGCATGATTCAATGGACTATAATTTGGGTAGAGGTAAATAAAGAGGTAAATAAAATATTCAGTGATTGACCAAAAGTACATGGACAATCACAAGGAAGAGTAATTCTGTAGAGATTTGTCTTTGTAACAACACCCTGTCAGACAGACTTATTTAGGCCAAAGAGGAAAATGCTTACAAAGCAAAGCTTTTGATGTGAAGTTTTTCCAATTACACCACTGCCTTCAGTTTTACCTTGTCTGACTCCAGTTTCTATCCTGGTGAAACTATCAGGTGGTGGGGTGGATAAGTGCAACAATGGCCCAGCCCCTGGCATAAAGTTATTATTAGGGTCTTCAGCATATATTCTAGCTTCAAATGCATGGCCTCGGAGCAGAATCTCTTCCTGCCTTAGGGGAATCTTCTCTCCTGCTGCAACCTGAAAACAATAGGTTTTTTTCTTTAATGCAGGATCAATATTCTGGAGCACCAATATATGAAATATTAAATATCTTTCTTCTAAACATGAACAACTAGAAAGCACATTAAAAAGTGGTAAGTCATAAAAGGCTAATTCTGAAGTTATTCCTTCCTTTTCTCTGGGAGTCTCTGAGAAAGGATTTTGAATTATTATTGTGTAAATTGACCTCCTTATATTTCACACAGCTAAAACATAATGGAAAAACAGCCTAATTTTTTTCTACTGGTTATGTCCAAAAACAATTTAACGTTTAAGTTAAAGCCTGGTCAACTAAGACAAGATTTTATCAGAGAAAAATTGCTCCAAAAGCAGATGATAAAATGGATTACTGGCAGCCAGCACTACTGGCATATGCTGTTGATTCTTCTGTATACTGTGGGACCTGTACATTTAAGGGAATGTTCCTCTAAGGGGATTTCTAACAATTTAAGAACCTTTAATGGGGAAGGAAACGTTTTAATACTCAAAGAAATTCACATTACAAATACAGGAATACCAACAAACACCACCAACACACCAGTTTGAGACTGAAAAAACAGGGCTTTTAGGGACAAAATAATAACAAGAAGCTTGCTGCAGTTAAACACAGAGGAGACCCTTTACCAGGAAGCTACACAATTTCCATCCACATGGGAAAATACAAGTTCCTATTAAAAAATTTGTAGCAACATTTCATCTTCTTTTGAAGTGTCAGGGGTTTTCCATACTCTGCCTTCTGCCACCAAACTATAGATTTCAGCAAAGACAGCAGAATATAACTTAGTCTTCAAAGAAAGAGTAGTACTATACCGATTCACAAAAATAGTCTCTCCAAGAACTGAGAGACATATTCCATCTATTGACTCACTATACCAAGACCACTGAACCTTTCCACCTGCTCTCTTTCTCTTTCTTCCTCTTGTTTGATCCCTGCTCCAACTCAGCACTCAATGCTCAACCCAGATCAGGAAGCCAAAAGTTCCTCCTTTTTGCATCAGCGTTTGCCATTTTAGTTTTCTTTCTGGTTACAGTAAACACTCCCCCACCCTATCTACTTAAGCTCAATGTGTGCTGCTGTTCTCACTTTTGGATTTATCTAACCAGAATTGTTTTTCATTTCCAGTCCCCTAAGGTCCAAAACTTTCTGTTATTATTCAAACGTATGAATAATCTCTCTGTAAATTAGGTGTGTGAGGAAATAGCCTGTTTCCAGTCCACACAACTATACATTTATTTTAGAATGTGATCGATGGGCCGAGGCCAACTGTATG